AGTGTCTATCATTTACGTGGTATTTGGCAGTAGATATGCAACTGTTTATTATATCTCCGATACTAATCCTATTCCTCGCGAGTAATGACATAAAGTAAGTAAACTGTTTATTCGTTTGAATTAAATTCAGAAATAATTTAATTAAACATAAAATCTTAAACAATTTCCGCTATGATATCATAGGAAACAATATTTAGGGATTGGTATTAATATTGCAATAATAATTGGCAGTTGTATCACAACCGGCATAATAACTGTACAGAAAGGACTTACACCCACTGTTTTAATGAGTGTTTAGTAAGTAGCATGATAATTCTAAAAATGTAATTTAATATTTACGTAAATATAACTTAATTTTGCCGGATGCATTTAACTCCCAGTGATTTGGATTATATAAATCTGGTGTACAAACAAGCGTACTGTCGGGTTGGGCCGTATTGTGTGGGCATTTTAATGGCATATTTCTTTCAAAAATATAAGGGCATAATTGTTATTAAACCGGTAAGCAATATAAAACTTACAGTAAAAATAAAATCATCAAGGTTAATAAAAAAAATTATAACCGTATTAAACTTAAAACACAGAAACTGAACATTACATTATGGGTACTATCGGTGACGTTAAACCTGTGCATAACATTTCTGACGTGGCCCTGGCTATTGGGTAACAGTTATCACAACACGGCGAGTGTGCTCTATGGGGCCACCCATAGGACCCTATGGGCCCTGAGCTGGTCATACATACTGTTTGCCTGCGCCACAGGACACGGCTCTATCGTCAATACAGTGCTCTCGTGGAAAGCGTTGGTGCCGTTGAGTCGGCTATCATTTCAGGCCTATCTCTACCACTCGGTGCTTATCTCCCGGTTCGTGTACGACGCCCGACAACCTCTCTATTCATCCAAAGTAACCTTGGTATGAATGAAATACTCATTAGTAGTATTATTATTACTATTATTTATTTAATTCAATAACAAACTAGTTTATTATTTGCTAGTAATTATGTGTGGTAATGGCTTTGTGGAAATTTTATCGTGTTTATTTTTGTGTACATATTTATGTACATTTAATTCAATGATTCGCTGATGAACTATAATTTCGGAAAGTTTTCAGATAGAGTGTATATTGGAGGCAATTATTATTATTATTATACTGTGTTGTAATGTATATACAGTACAATAATATGTTAATAATTCTATAGTTTTTACTTTATATGGTTGGGTAAATAGAAGATGATTATAATATTTGTTTTTATATAACAATGTAAATTAATGCTCGTCTAAGTCAATGAATTTAATGCACTATCTATTCATTCATAATATTTGTCTAATTGAGTGAAAATCTAGAATTTCTGTCAAATATGCATTAGAAATATAAATCGGGAACTTATCTCTACTAACAGACAGATAAACAAAATCAAAATTGAGAGAAAAATAAACAAGACCATTTCTGTCTGCACGATACAATAGACAACTTTGTAAATACATAATATTATTGGAAATATATCCTGGTAATTGGACTACAGTATCATGTTTTATTGAATGAAAATAGATGATAAACCAAAATAGCTTTAGGAGTGATTGAAGTATTGATATTTATTTGGTTTTCATTGAATTGAATGCTTGTTCTGTGCTTATAAATTATTATATTTAGATATTCAGTAAATTTTGTTCTAGTCTAGATTACATTACTAATCAATATACCAAATTAACTTTACAGAATCACTTAAAACATTTTGTATAGTACTGTACACTTAACATAATGACTGTCATCTTGATCGAAAACAGTATTTTCGTAGAAATCAAATAGTTTTTAATGAAAAACATGATTTTTATTATTTTCTAATTGATTCAATTAAATACTACTTGAATTAACTAGTGGTATGATCTATTACTAATATAAATAGTACATTATTTGTATTACCATTAAAAAATTATAAATTCACAAATATCAAATCAATTCAGTGATTTATAATTTATAAGTGTAATTTATAAGTAAGTGTTATATTGCTAATTTATTACCTTAGTGAGTTTACTTGATATTGGATCTACATCAAATGTCGCGACAAATAAAAAATTAGTTTTCAGATTAAATAACTGATAAATAAATAACCAATATATTACGGTGATATGAAAATTAATTTTTCACACACGTGCCGACTCCTATATCACATCTACATTTACAGTTCACCCACAATATAGTGTACACATATCACACGTCGTAACAGTTATTTATGGATTGTATCTGGAATATACTTACTGTATTTACATATATTATTTTTATGGTAGGCATACATATATGAAATGATGAAGATGTAATTAACTCACTGTATATTTTATGTAAAATACTTTTTAATTAATATTTATTTAATTTGAAATAGTAAAAGTTACAATGACATTCGTCGCAATTAATTTGATACAAAACATAACTACTATATTAAATGAGTTGAGTTTTAGTGCAGGCGTACTCTTATTAACGGAATATTCTGTAATTTCATTGACATTCAGACTATTCTAAATTAATTGGTGGAAATAATTACCAATATATTTTATTGATAATTAAATATCATATGACATTCTGTTTGTATGTTTAATCTAATGTTGTGTTTCTGTATTGTTTGACAGGTTATGATGTTTTTTCAGTACACAGTCTTGACATTTATCGTCAGTTATATTGCATTCTTGATGTTTGAGATACCGTTTGCTAACATTGAGCGACTGTTTTGGCGTAAAAGCAAATCTTCACAGAATCGGCCCATTATTCCCAACCAAGAGATTAATAATAATCATAATTTTATTAATACTAATATTAACGACACTAATAATAATAATAATAGTGATAACGAGTTAAACGTTGATAATGATAATTGTTATACAAATCATGGCATAAATCTCAACAGCAAATGATTTATAATTTTGTTGTTTTGTTTGTTTTATTTGTTAAATAATTTTATTTTTATAAAATCATTCATTGATGGTTTAAAACCTTGTCTAGGTTAATTTGTTATGTAATTTTAGGTATTATAAATTTAAACTATAAGTATAAACTTGTAAATACTTCATTATTTTAATTAATAAAAAATTTGTAAATTATTACTAATTTTTCAATTCAATTAAATTGAATGGCATCACAAACATCAAAAATATTAAAATGGTTGTTTTAAAATATAACCATCGGCGCTTATATGTCACATTAATTATAGCGTTAATTGTAATCAAGTTAATATGAGTACACTTTGCCCGTACACCATAAGGACTTGAATTTATATATTAATATCAAATTATATAAGTAAAGTTGTAGCATATTTACTATCGTACAATACAGTACCAGATTATGCTTCAAAACTAATACTATTGTTGAATAAAATACTATTAATTTTTTCAATTATAAGCAACGCCGGAATTTTCCAACAAATCAATATAAATGGTCTAAAACCTAATATATTATTGTTTTAATAACATTAATATAATACTATTATCTGGCGTTTGTTTAATACAACTTCTAAAATGTCAGACCATTGGAAAAATACAGGCAATAAAAGTCGTCGATAGTTCATAAAAACATTTTCATTGACTTTTGATACTATAGTTTAAAAAATTGTTTTTACTTCACGAGTACTTTCTTAAAGATTAAATAAGTTCACCAAAAACTTTGACAAATAAATTGAGCTAGGATAATCCCAGTACAATGTACACGTGTTCACAGCTTATTAATATAAGTTAAATGTGTGATCATAGAAATATCGTATTGATAACAATTTATTTTTTTTCACAAATCACTTACAACATGCTATAAAACATCTAAAAATAACTTATTTTACTGTACTCTCGATGCCATATAAACTGTATATATCGATATAGAGTACTATAAATCAGTGATAATTAATTAACCAATCAATTGCATCAGGATTTATATGGATTTAGTCTTTGTTGCAAATTTTGTACTGCAAAATACTTACCATGTAATGTAACTGTACTTTCTTGTAATAAAATCATAGAAATCAATTAGCATTACACCGGGTTTACGATGGGTTTGGCGTTAATGCAACTCATGTCCATTCAATTGTGTTAACAGACTGTAACAGACAAATGGTTAAGCTTAATTTCAAGTGAAATTGTAATTAAAATTAAACATTAATGCATTTCGTGGTAAAAATAAGATTATTCATGAGCTTACTTTTTAAGTATAAATATTATTGTAGAGTTGCCAGCGGTTACTCTAATAAGTTATTTAATTTACCCAGTTGGTTTTATGAATTATAACATTATTTAAATATAACATAGAGCTGGATCCAAAATGTTCATACAATTTTTATTACAATGAGCTAATATAACATGCATTATGGATGTTAAGAATGTTGTTTTAACAACTACATTATAAAAGTTAATAAAATAAAAATTATCTAGTTGTAGTAAAAAAGTCTTTAATTAAAATCATTATAAACAGTATTATTTACAGTTAAAAATACATTACTAACAATTAGTTGCATTAGTTACCGAGAATTTGTTAATTATAGAAAATTTCTAGAAATTCAAAGCTAAAAACTACAGAATTTTAGTCTAGACAAGTTTGTGGGCATTTGATATTTGTTGTAATTGATTGTAAATAATTTTAAATAGTAAACTACATAACTTTGATACATGTAAGTCAAATATCAAGAATTTTTTATATGATTATTTGCTATTATTTTTGGTAAAGAGAAATGTATTAAATTGTATTATACACCAAAGTTTATAAAAATATATTTTTTGTTAAATTATAATTAATTTTATATTTGCATCTTACAATTGTGAATTGTATTGAATATTTAAATTAATTATATACTCACTAAACACAATTAATATTACCGTAGAAATGAACATGATAAATGATGAGCAATTGATTGTACACTTATAATAAGACTACAATAAAATAAATGTCTGTTTATTTGTATGACATTTGTTGGCCTCTAATGAAACCAAATGATTGATTGAATTAACATTGATATTGAAATTGAAGCTAAATTAATGTTAAATAACTAAATAATCTGTTCATGTGATGACATGTGGTCGCCATTTAGGCTAAATGCAAAGGAACATATCATTTATTGAGATAGAGAAATAAAAATAATAATTATTAATCAAATATTACTTACAATAAATTATTAAATATAATAACTTGTTAATATTAATTATTTTTATTAAAATATAATTTGAGTATAACTTGCTGAGATTTCTAATAAACATTTTATGTCTCATTTTAATTAAATATTGATTAAAATATAATCGTTTTTATATTACATTTATTTTTTATCAATCAATCAAACGATAAATTCAATTGAATCAAAAGTAATATACATTTACTTCCAATAAATCATTATTAAATATTTCATTACATAAATTTTTTTAAATAAAATTACATTAAAAAATAATCTTATTAAAACTTACGCAAGTTGTGATCATTTTATGAAACATTTTTTTATATTAAGATTTAGAAATTTAATTTAAACATAAGCCATTTTTTCATAAAATTATGCATTTGTAAGAATATTCTTGAGTATTAATAACTTCAATAACCTTTTTGAGTTTATTAAAAGATAGTTTATGTAAAGTTTAATATAAAGTACAATACAAAATATCCGTTTACTATAAATATTTTTAAAAAAACTTAAGCCTCGACTGTAAACAAGAATAGATTAGAGAACATCACTATTGAATGACAAGTAGAAAAAAATGTATAAATTGTTTACAAAATTTGTATTAAAAAAATTAAAATTAATGTTAAAGTGGGATGCTTTTATTGTATAATATTTATTCAACAAACACAGTTAAAATTAAAATAAATGTAGATTTACTAAAATAAATAAAATACACTAACAACTTGTTAGTAAATAGATGTTGTATTCCCATTAATAATGCAAATATTATTTAAATAATACATTAAATATTAATAATAAAAAAATTTCATTTTATTTTACAAATTAAAAATTTTTATTTTACGTAAAAGTTTGTAGATGTTATGGAAAATTACATTTACTATTCATCATAACATTTAAATGATTTAATATACATTTCATACACTTATTCACACATTATATTTATATAAATTATTTATTCTGCAAATAAAATACACATAACTTATAGTAAGT